ATTTCCGGTTGTGCTGTAATAGACCTGGACGGCCGGGTTGGGGCGAGAGAATCCGCGATGGTCCCGGTTGCGGTGTAATAGACCTGGACGGACCGGGTAGGGGTGAGAGGGGGCGAGTCGACTTGTTGTATGGGAAGGTCCTGCTGTAGGTTCCCTGCAAGACATAACATAAACACAGTTATTACACAATAATGCGAGGAGGGGGTTATACAACATTCACTCCTCAAACCGTCTTTGTGAGAACTTGCCTGGTGTGGTATGTGACGATCGGTGAGTGGCGATCTTAGAACCTTTAGACCCCTTTCCAGCACCTGCTGTAAGGAATTAAGTATATGGTTAATCATTTGCCGCATGGGCAGACGTCTTTCAGGCGTATTCTGCTGTAGGTCTTAACTATCTTTCAATAATTTTCATGTCTACCCATACTTTAATACTCAGATTTCACTGTGTATGAATTAGCTTACCTCGAATGCATTGTTGACGGTGGTAATGCAGCCTTGCTGAGGGAATGTGTTGGTTGCAACCTGAACACAGCAAAGGTGGTTGTTGGACAGCTTCTTTCCACAGAGCTGGCAGTGAAGCTTGATGTTAGCCATTGTGAGTGCTATCACAGGGGAAGGCAAGATGTACTAATGTTTAGTGGTCGAGTTTCCACCTTTTTTATATCGCGGGGAATGCCAACGGGCGACAGATGTGTGCATTTCTATTTGACGTTTTATAATGAATTCTATTAAATCATTTTGTGTTTATACAAGAGGAATATAAAAAAATGATAATTAGTATAGAGGTTTATAATCTTTTTCATTAAATTTAGATTCGTATATCTAAGATGCTTTGAGAGTGTTGAAACACAGCAAGGAAGGAAAAGTAATTATTTAATCGATATCTCCCAGACTCTGCAGTTGACCTGACATCTGTTCAGGATGCAGCTGACCTGTGTTTGAGCAGGCCTTCCTTTAATTATTAACGGCCGTCATTAGTGAAAGGGGTGATCAGTGAGACGCTTCTTAACTATCACTAGCTAGAGGGCTTTTAATGATGGGAAAATAAAGACATATTGAGTACAACGAATTTTATACTCCTTTCCGCTGAACTCTATACTTATAAACGAGGTGCTTTTCGATTGTGGGGAACAAACTGTGAATATCTGATTAATTAGTGTCTGTGCCTGACTTCTGAGGGGATAACTTTATTATTGAGATGTTTTAAGACAATGTAGGCCATCCCACATGTTCAAACATGACGAATAGATGCTGTTATTGATTTCGCTGACCTGACTCACATCGGTAATGGCTTAATTTTGCGCGTGACCTGGAGGGCGGTGGGAATGAAGGGGTGGGGACTTGGGTGGTTGGGGGACACCTGTTTGGTGTGCGTATTATTCCCCATTAGCCACGGTTATTGATTTCCCGTAATCAATTATGATAATTACTTCCGGAAGTCATTAGGTCACTTCCTGTTATGACACGTCAGGTATGTGCATAGCGGGATAAGAGGGTAGTCATAGGGTGAGGCTGGTGAGTCCAAGGTGTTTTTGGGTGAGGGGGTTGGGGTGGTGGAACCTGTGACACCTGCTCTTAGGATGATAGTTTGACCTGCGGCAGCAGGATCCATGTTTGTTTGTTGTTCCTCTTCTACCTGCGGC